AGAGCGCTGCTGTTCGTCAGGGGTCTAGTGCCGCACATCCAGCGACAGGTCATGCGTGAGCATCCACGTACCCTGGAGCAAGCTGTCATGGCAGCAAACACCGTGGAGCAGTCGTCAGGGCCACCGGCGTCGGGGCCACCAGCCAGTAGAGAGTCGCGTTCCGTGCCCAGCTTCCGTGGTCAGGGCCTCCGCAAGCTGACGGACCAAGAGCGTGTCCAACTGCGAGCAATGGGACACTGCTTTGCTTGCAGGAAGCCAGGCCACCTCGCTAAAGACTGTACTGAGGGTGGACAGCGCTACCCAAACGCTGGTCGCCAGTAAGAAAGGGGGTGCGCTTACTGGCGACGACCCAAGCACCCACGCCGGTACCAGTCGCTAACCGGTTCGGAGCTCTGGAGGTTGAAGACGTTGCTCTCCAGGAACCTACGGAGCCGGAGACACCCATAGCTGTAGGAAATTGTCCCGTTGCAGAAAGGTGTCATGTCAGCAACGTCAGCGTCGGCAATGAACCTGAACACGACCTACTGCGCATACAGGGAAAGATCGGCGGTCGCCGTGCAGTGATGCTGATAGATTCCGGTTCGACGCATGACTTCATTGCAGACAGTTTTGTTCGAAAGCATCATCTTGACACGGATGCAAGCTCAGCAGTGCTGAGCGTAACATTGGCGGACGGCTCGACCAGCGAGGTCCCGCAGATTTCCACACGCACGCTAAGGGTGACAGTCGGGGGCTTCAGTGAGGAACAGCACTTTACTGTGTATCCCCTGACTCGCTACGACGCTATTCTTGGCAAGCCGTGGCTTACAAGGAACAACCCCAGCATCAACTTCCGTACGAACGAAGTTCAGTTGGACGGTGAGCCCTTTGTTGCCAAATTGCCTTCAGCTAACCCGCCGACAGCCGACCGGCCATCTGTGGAAAGCATGTTTATCAGTGGCCGACAAGCTCGTCATGCCCTGAGGAGTGGAGCCGAGGGGTTTCTTGCATGGGTCACTGCTGCAAACGAGGAGAATCGTTCCGGGCCACAACTCCAGGAATCAGAGCAACAAGACATCCAGAACCTGCTCAAGAGGTACCAGGATTTATTTCCAGACGAGCTGCCGAATGAGCTTCCACCGAAGAGACCAGTCGACCATGAAATCCAGATAGAAGATGGAGCCAGACCACCGTCTCGACCCGCCTACCGCCTGCCGAAACCAGAGATGGACGAGCTCCAGTCACAGCTGTCAGAATTACTTGAGAAGGGATTCATTGAGCCAAGTAAGTCGCCATACGGTGCACCTGTGTTTTTTGTGAAAAAGTCGGATGGTACTCTGAGAATGGTGTGCGATTGGCGAGAATTGAATAGAATTACGATCAAAAACAAAGCTTGTCTTCCTAATATTGAGGACTTATTCGACACGATCCAGGGCAGTGCATATTTCTCCAAGTTGGACTTGCGGTCGGGGTACAATCAAATCAGAATTCAAGACTCGGATGTTTCTAAGACGGCTATTAATACGCCGTTCGGCCACTTCCAATTTAGAGTCATGGGATTCGGGCTGACTAATGCCCCGGCCACCTTTCAGTCACTCATGAACTCTATTCTGCAACCGCATCTCCGAAAATTCGTTGTAGTATTCTTGGATGACATTCTAGTTTTCAGCAAGACCTGGGAAGATCATCAGCATCATCTTCAAACAGTTCTAGAAACACTTAGAAATAGTGAGCTGTATTGTAAACAGTCTAAATGCGAATTCGGCGTGAGAGAAGTTCTCTTCTTGGGGCATAAAATCAACGGCACATCAATTTCCCCTGATCCCAAGAAGATAAGTGCTGTGGAAACATGGCCAACTCCGTCGTCAGTAACTGATGTGAGGAAGTTTCTTGGCTTTGCTAACTATTTCCGAAGGTTCATAGATCGACACTCGACCATCTCTCGTCCATTAGAAGAAATCACCGGAAAAAATTCACGCTTTGAATGGAGCGCTGCTAGACAGAAGGCATTCGAGTCTCTAAAATCAGCATTACTCGAGGCGCCAGTGTTGCAACTGGCCGATGTTGAGAAAAACTTCACGGTAGAAACTGACGCAAGTGACTTTGCCGTGGCGGGTGTGCTCCTGCAGCAGGGAGAAGATATGGATTTGCATCCCGTAGCCTATTGTAGTCGGAAACTGTCAGCTGCAGAACGCAACTATACTGCGGCCGAGAGGGAAACGTTGGCTGTGGTATTTGCATTAAAGTACTGGATGAATCTGGTAATGACATTGTTCCACTTCAGAAGTACAAAACCTTGGCTTCTGCCCGCTGAGTTTTGCAGTTGAACTTCTAGTTTCACCTTACACATTTGTTGAGCTTATTACACTTTATTTGCATGGAGTTTCAGTCGTCTTATTGTGTTACTTCAGTGCGAAGCCTTTTTTCGTCTCGCACGTGTTTGCGCTTATTGTACTCTATTCCACTTGAGCATTTGGGTTATAAGCTCCTTCCTCTCCATAGGAGGGGGATGATGTAACAGTTTTCCCCTGTTCTCTATAACTTTACACTCCCTCGCACCTCATGCGTCTTACGCCTGTCTATTAGCACCTTCATTGGCGCCATTGCCACATGTATACTATCACATTTTGCATATAACTGGTCGAGGCACGCTCAACCAGGCCTCTTACTTTTCAAGTTTGATTAAACCTGTTACACTCCCTCCCTCCCCCCCCCCTCTCTCTCTCTCTCTCTTTCTCTCTCTCTCTCCCCGTAGCTCTCTCCCTTTTGAAATTCGCTTCCATAGAATTGGGCACCATTGCCCGTTTGGCCTTGCGAAGCAAAATAAAAATCAACAACAACAACAACAACAACAGACTGGTCACTAGTCACACTGGTCAGTAGGGATAGACTGGTCACTAGTCACACTGGTCAGTAGGGATAGACTGGTCACTAGTCACACTGGTCAGTAGGGGTAGACTGGTCACTAGTCACACTGGTCAGTATGGATAGACTGGTCACTAGTCACACTGGTCAGTAGGGATAGACTGGTCACTAGTCACACTGGTCAGTAGGGATAGACTGGTCACTAGTCACACTGGTCAGTAGGGGTAGACTGGTCACTAGTCACACTGGTCAGTAGGGATAGACTGGTCACTAGTCACACTGGTCAGTAGGGATAGACTGGTCACTAGTCACACTGGTCAGTAGGGATAGACTGGTCACTAGTCACACTGGTCAGTAGGGATAGACTGGTCACTAGTCACACTGGTCAGTAGGGATAGACTGGTCACTAGTCACACTGGTCAGTAGGGGTAGACTGGTCACTAGTCACACTGGTCAGTAGGGATAGACTGGTCACTAGTCACACTGGTCAGTAGGGATAGACTGGTCACTAGTCACACTGGTCAGTAGGGATAGACTGGTCACTAGTCACACTGGTCAGTAGGGGTAGACTGGTCACTAGTCACACTGGTCAGTAGGGATAGACTGGTCACTAGTCACACTGGTCAGTAGGGATGGACTGGTCACTAGTCACACTGGTCAGTAGGGGTAGACTGGTCACTAGTCACACTGGTCAGTAGGGATAGACTGGTCACTAGTCACACTGGTCAGTAGGGATAGACTGGTCACTAGTCACACTGGTCAGTAGGGGTAGACTGGTCACTAGTCACACTGGTCAGTAGGGATAGACTGGTCACTAGTCACACTGGTCAGTAGGGGTAGACTGGTCACTAGTCACACTGGTCAGTAGGGATAGACTGGTCACTAGTCACACTGGTCAGTAGGGATAGACTGGTCACTAGTCACACTGGTCAGTAGGGATAGACTGGTCACTAGTCACACTGGTCAGTAGGGATAGACTGGTCACTAGTCACACTGGTCAGTAGGGGTAGACTGGTCACTAGTCACACTGGTCAGTAGGGATAGACTGGTCACTAGTCACACTGGTCAGTAGGGATAGACTGGTCACTAGTCACACTGGTCAGTAGGGATAGACTGGTCACTAGTCACACTGGTCAGTAGGGATAGACTGGTCACTAGTCACACTGGTCAGTAGGGGTAGACTGGTCACTAGTCACACTGGTCAGTAGGGGTAGACTGGTCACTAGTCACACTGGTCAGTAGGGATAGACTGGTCACTAGTCACACTGGTCAGTAGGGATAGACTGGTCACTAGTCACACTGGTCAGTAGGGATAGACTGGTCACTAGTCACACTGGTCAGTAGGGATTGACTGGTCACTAGTCACACTGGTCAGTAGGGATAGACTGGTCACTAGTCACACTGGTCAGTAGGGATAGACTGGTCACTAGTCACACTGGTCAGTAGGGGTAGACTGGTCACTAGTCACACTGGTCAGTAGGGGTAGACTGGTCACTAGTCACACTGGTCAGTAGGGATAGACTGGTCACTAGTCACACTGATCTTTAGTTATAGGTTTTACTATAGACAGGGTTTGCTCCCCACACCGGAGCTCGCGCTATTCCGCCGACTTTACTTGACACTTGACTGACTCACGACTGCCATCCAGAGCACACGAGAAGTCCATCGAACCTTCGACTCGGTAAACCTGCAAGAAAGCACCACTCCCTGCTCAATACACAGTGTTTCGGGGAATTCACCCCTCATCAGTTGAGCTTGAGTAGGCTGAGGAAGATTGTGCCTGAAGAGCACCACTTATATAGTGCTCTCCAGGTACAAACATCACCAGGGATACAAACTAACAGAGACGCTCCGCTTCCAGCGCGATAAACACCTCGTGAACACCAGATAGCCGCGTGAGTCAGTGTCGCTCCTGGACGGTGAGACCAGACGTTGAGGACCCTCGGTCATTCGCAACGCTGTCACCTCCAAACCAACTAGTCGCAAGCCCGCGCTGGGCACAACAGTACGAAGTAGTGGTTGCGACTTCGGCGATGATTTGTAAGAAAGGGTTTGCTCCCCACGTGGGGAGCAAACCCTTTCTTACAAATCATCGCCGAAGTCGCAACCACTACTTCGTACTGTTTTACTATAGACCTTGGAAAAAATGTACTCACCTTGTTGAATGGTGGTAACAGCTGCTGAGACACGTGAAAGCTTATCACTAGTGTCTTGCTGGTGCTCCAGTAGTTGTCCAATATTGGTGGTACTTGTAGCACTTTGCTCCAGTAGTTGTCCAATGCTTGTGGTACTTGTAGCACTTTGCTCCTGTAGTTGACGGATAGTTGTGTTGGTCTGGTTTTGCATTTCCACTATGCGTTCACATGCTGCAGTTGTATCTTGTTCACCTATATACATGATAAGATAGGTACACATAAACACTCTCTCACATGCACACACATGTAAGCACCCATGTCAGTGGCGTCACTGGGCGGCTGGGAGTGGTACGACCGGGGGTGGGGGGGGGGGGTGTCCCCCGGAGAAAGAAATAAGGATTTTTCGGCTAACAGGGCACGTTTTAGCACTCTACAGCCGCAATGGAGGGCTCCCCTAGCACTTTTTAGACAACCCCACTCCAGCTCCAAAAACATACTTCTCATGGATTTTTTGGTATTTTCTGTACATCGTAGGTAGCCAAGCAAGGCAAAAGGAACCCATTGCCCTCGAAAAAATCGCAAAATCCGAAGTACAAGAGTGCTGCTCGTTTTAGCGCCAGCCGCTGTGCAAACACGTACTAGTATGTCATGTTCTGCAAAAGTGCGCCGCGTCGCATGCACTATGTACACGGCCAGCCTGGACAGTCGCGAAGTAATTTTAGTTGTTTTTAGAGAGAGAAGAAGATCCTTTTTTTTGTTTGGTGGGATTGAAAGATCTGTAAGTGGACCGGAGAGCTACAACACTGGAAGCAGAAGAAAGGGCTTGAGGAATCTTCTCTGTCTTCGTGGAAACAGGACTTTAGTTTGCGAAAGACTTTCATCCTGTCGTCGCGGACGCAATTCTTGTTGCTGCTACCAGAAAACTCGGAGAACGAAACAATTGTAAATCGTTAGGTGAAGCGGGTCGTGTTGGTGAACAGCAGCAGAATATTCTGCCGCCGTGGAGCAGCAGTCCAAACACTTTTCAACTTCGGAGAATGAAGCGCTTCCCTTGTCCGTTGACAAGCGCGGCGTTCGCGGGTGTAATGCATTTTCGCATCAGCTTGCAGTAGATTGTCAGGAACCAGAGGTGCTAGGTAGGTGTAGTTGCGGAAAGAATATAATTATGTTGTAGCTGACAAGTTACATACATGTAGCAGGGGCGTTGCACACGGTACGGTCACTACGGTATTGACCATACCACTTTTTGCCCCAGATACCCCGTGAATCAACAAAATACACTGATCTGGGATGAAAAATTCCAAAATTGTCAGCTCAGCTACCACTCCCCCCCCCCCCCACGAGTAAATTGTACTTCTAATGGCTGACCGTACCACACTAAAACATCTTCCGACGCCCCTGTGTAGTGTCTCTTGACCGTGCTGATTGCCATTGTAACATGGTAGATCTTGGAATTTTTTAGACCCAGTGATCGCCGCCAGCTCGGCTCTGTTTCCGTCAAGTTTGCAGTAAATGCGTCCGTGAGGAATCCATCGTCTGGTTGTCTCTACCGGTGACTCCAACCGCCTATCGTAATGGATAGCCGCCTGGAGTCTTGGGCAATAGTTAGCTGCTACTCAGTGCGAGTGCTAGGCATCAAGTCTGTATGCTACTTGCAATGAAAGTTGCGATGTTTTGTACAAGTCCGAACATCCTGGAATTTGTTTTATTGCTTTTTTGGATGAATTCGGTGGACCATCCTGGACGAAACTTGGTACGACCATGGTCGTAGTAGTCGTACCGTGTGTGACGCCCCTGCATGCACGAATGCACAAGTACACACACGCACATATACATGTATATACAAACAAACAGACACACACACAAACACACACACACACACACAAACTCACAGACATACACACACACCTTGGACCTTGGACGCAATGCAATATTCTGGCTATGCGGACCCCATGGGGGTTGAGCAGGTTCGGAACAGTATAACGGGATAGGTCCTGTGGTCTACTGAATGATGACGGGATAGGTCCTGTGGTCTACTGAAATGCCGAACGCAATTGCAAACGATGCAGAAGGAGCTACGGTCTGCGTTCGTTGCTCTGGCCGAGCTAGGGCTGCACTTGTGACACTTCATGCCTTGGCGCGATAGCACGCAGCGGTTGCAGCGGGCGCAGTGGAAGGTGCAGCGTTCGCAGGACATATTGTTCGTAACTGGTGACTCAAGCGTGTCAGAAGATGCCTCTGCTGGTGATGTCGCTGGCGAGTACTTGTGTCGGGTAAATCCACCCTTGCTCCGGAACCATATGTTGCACTGGTCGCAGTGACACCTTCTTGGCTGTTGGCTTACAGGTAGGGCACGCGTAGCTGTACACTTGTGTCCGCTTCCTGTCACTTACACGACTGAAGGAGCGGTGACAAGTTTGGCACACAACCTGTGATGGTCGAGGTCTGTTCTGCTTGTCTGGCAGACAACGGTAAGCCTTGCGCCATTTGGAGCGAGAAGAAGTGGCCACTTCATACCAGTCGTCAAGTAGTTTGACGTCACTCCGAACACAGTCTCGCCACCTTTTCCGCGAACCATGGGCAGGTCCCTTGTTTGGAAACGAACCAAACAATAGAGCATTCGGGACGCGCTCATCCTCCATCCTTGACACATGACCAAGCCACTCAAGGCGACGTCTGCTGAGACGACACTCCATGTCCAAGGTATCTCCCCAGCGCTCCAGAACTTCAACATTAGTTATCCTGTCATTCCATACATCTTTACGACTGATGCCCAGAATGGTGCAGACACAACGGAAATGAAAGACAGACAACGCATGAACATCAGCCCGTAGCGGTACCCAGCATTCGGACCCGTAGAGCAGAGTCGACAGCACACAAGCATTGTACGCTGAACGTTTGATGGATATTGTCAGTGTTACATCGTGGAATATCGCTTCACACACACACACACACACACACACACACACACACACACACGCACACACACACACACACCTGTCCTGTCCTGTAGAGCCACTGCCACAGGGGTCACGTGGGCCCCGGGGGGTCATCACAGAGGAAGATGGAGCACGCAGCCTGATGACGCCGGATATGGTGGAGCAAACAGATCTGGCGAAAACACATGCATGCATGACTGAACGAATTACGCTGCTGGGCAGTCGGGCGCGGGCCAGTCCTCGAGCACCGGTGACGACCGCGGCCTTGCGCAGTCCGACAGCAGCGGGCACACGCAGCACAGTGCGCAGCACAGCAGGCATCCTGCACATAGACTTGTTCGGGAGGCTGAGGCTGAGGTGCGGAAGAGATGTGAACAGCTAGACCATCCTTGCTTCAAAACCAACGCCCACAATCTCCACAGTGGCAAGCCCCTTGCTGCTCAGAAATCGGCTTGGCCCGCTCAACCACACATTTGTTGCGAACACGATCTCCAGGGCCCGAGAATAACCGATTGCAATCCGCACATACCACTGGGCCAGGCTGAGGCGCATTCTCCACAGGCTCGGCGTACTTAGCTCACCAGTCAGGGCGGGACTCACAGGCAATAGAGTACCATTCCTTGGTGAGGCCACAAACTCTTAGGTCGGAGACAACGCAATCCTTCGAGCGCTTGAGAGGGGCATGTGCTGGGCGACGTGTGGGAAGTGAGCCTAACAGGATCTGTCTTGGCATCCAGCTACTGTCCATCCGGGCAACATGGCCCAGCCACTCTAGGCGACGCTGTGCAACCTTCACGCAGATGGTATCAGTGTCACCCCACATCTCCAACAGTTGGGCGTTGGTTGTGTGTTTATGCCAGCAATCTCTGCGGAAAACACCCAAGGTGGAACGGATGCGCCGCATACGGAAGACTGACAAACGTTGGTGATCGTGCTGCAATGGTGTCCAACACTCTGACCCATAGAGGAGGAGCGACAGCACACATGCATTAAACACACACCTCTTGATATCCAAATCGAGGTCAGAATTGCTGAAGATGGTTCCTTGCAAGGCGCCACAAGCACGAGAGGCATGCGCAATCCGAGCAGTGATGTCCTGTGTCGACCGGCCACCGCGATGAATGAATGAGAGATCCAAGATACTGGAACTCCGAAACACACTCGGTGACCGTGCCAGCTAGCTCGATTCGAGCGCAGTCCCCAGGCGAAACATCCCTGCCTGCAACCAAGAACTGTGTCTCGGTAGCGCTAACTTCAAGCCCAAACTCAGCTGCGGTCGTGTCAAACACTGCAAGTGCCGTCTCCGCCCCTGCACGAGTCGTCGCGAAAAGTGCTGAGTCGTCTGCAAACTGTGACCCAGTGGCAATGGCAACCGGATCCGTCCGGGTAGGCTTGCGGTAAAGGTTACTGTCACCATCACAATGCCGGAACTCAAAACCAACACCGGGGAAATCTCTGACTCGTCGCTGCCACACAGTCACCAACGCCCACATGAAGATGTTAAACAGCACAGGTGCCATGTTGCACCCCTGGCGGAGACCATTCGTGACACGGATAGGGTCAGTTGCCGTGTTCTCTACCCGAACCACCACCGACATGTCAGTGTGAAAGGAACGGATCACGACTAGCATGGGAGCAGGGATACCCGCTCTGGATAAGACTTGCCACAGGCAATCCCGAGGCACGGAATCAGAGGCTTTCTTGAGGTCTATAAATACAAAGAAGCCTTTGCAGTCGTGCTCAATGGTCTTCTCGAGGAACTGCCGAACACTGAAAACCATATCTGTACAAGATCGGCCACGCCTGAAACCACACTGATATTCTGGGAGAAAATCCGTAGCCATGGACTGGAGACGAGTCTGGATGACGCTCGCCAGAACCTTGCACACAAACACACACACACACGCACACACACACACACACACACACACACACACACAAACAAACACAATCACCTGCCCGCCCTCGCAATGGGACAAGAAAAGTTGGTTACTGCTCTTTCATCATGTTGTCGTGGCTAGTCACATAGAGTATTGATTTTCACAACGTACATGCCTGGCAAAGTGCTCAGCAAAAATAAGGTGATCATGTGTGTACAAACAGGGGCGTCACGGACCCCTTCACAGGGGGCGCACAGGAATTTTGCACAGGAATTTTGCCCGGCCATGATGGCATGGCATCGATAACAAACTCGAAAATAAAATTAATAGCATTGCATCATATAATTATAATACTAGCATAATGCTGCATTACTAATGCTGCATTACTAATGCAGCATTACTTTATAATAATAATAATAATAATAATAATAATAGCATTGCTTAAAACATCATGGCCTACATACAGAATATGATACTATTCTTCGAGGTGTCTTGCCGAAAAATAGCTTGAGCAGTTCATGGCGGTTGACTTGTCAACCTGGACAACCGGTTCCTCTTCAACAGGACTGCGTGCCGGTTCTTCGTCATCATCCGATTCCCCTGGCCTAGCTGCAACAGGAATGGCTTCGTCCCCTCGCTTCACTTCAGGGTTCGCATTCCTCCGAAAAAGTTTGCCGCTGATAGTGAGCTGGCCAGACGCTTTCCTTTTTCGAGAAGACGACATTTTGAGAGGAAACAGCTGCAAAGACTCTTCAAGTGTGGTGACCTGACTAACTTACTTGCGACCACACTGAATTATGTATTTCTTCTGTTTCAAACAAACACCCAGAATTCTAGTACAAGGCCAAAGGATGCAGTGCTGCGCACATGTACACCCGCCGGCTACAGAAACACGATGACCTGGCTGTGTACACTGTTGTACAGTGTGATCCCTGCTGGGACGCGCTCAACGCGTCTTGAGACTTCTTTCCGCAACTTTCAAGTTTGCACAACTATGTTTTGAGGTCGAGGATGATCGCCTGTGTCCTCGGCATTCGAATCGTGTTTTGGTTGACTCGAAGACTTTTCTTCGATGTCTCAATGACAACCCAAAAGGCCAAGCTCTAGCCAGCCTGGATGGATTTTGGATGGATAAACTTTCGGAGTGGACTGACAGTCACACTCCGCCAGACGTGGAAGAATCTGTTGTCAGCGAGCAGCAAGAACATGAAGAACAGCGCGCACAGTGACAAGTGGACTTAGTACTACCTCTGCTTATGAAAGGATGCTTGTGAGATTTACGGCTCCTTGACATCGGTTTTCAAAATGGCTGACCTGGGACAGTAGCATGAAGTCATCTACCCCACACCATCCTGGCCGCAACCCCCCCCCCCCCCCCTCAGCCAAATCCTGGACACGCCACTGGTTCATGTGTCTGCCCTCCCTCCCGCGGGCAGTGTGGATCACTGACGATCGAATGTGATGATATGACGCGACTATTATCGTTTGCTTTTTTGGAACTGCTCTATCATCACCATTATAGACCTACTGTTGTGGACATGGAAATCCGGTCGCACGTCTAGCGGTCCCAGGGCGCTGACCATGCAGCCGTCGGTAAGCGGTACACACGTGCATTTATGCTCTGCAGCGCACTGATCCCATAGGATCAACATGTGCTCTGCAGGCAGCGTTCTGTACGCGCAGAGGGCGCCGGCCCCGGTCAATCGACTGGATTTCCATGCTCGCTACAGTAGATCAAGCATATTGTTGAACATCTAGATGATAGGGGTGAAACGAATATACCGAACATTCGAATATTCGTTTGCTAGGCCACAGCGAACGAACATTCGTAGTTCTCACGAACATTCGAACTTTGAGAATGTGCGTACGGTACGATAGACCCGTAAATACGTCGCGATCAGTCACGATCGTTTGACACACCGCCTGTAGAATATGTATAGCTGCGTGCTTGTGACCAGCGCTGCGCCAGGTGGTAGACCTACACGACCCACGCGCGCGAGGTTCACGATCTGAACCGACACTTGGCTGGGTGTCAGAAACTGTTTTCGGTCGTGCTCCCCGTTCTGTTGTTTGGGATCGTTTTACCAAATCCCAGGATGAGAAGTCAGCTACCTGCAGGATTTCCCGCAGCATATGTTTAGTATGGCAAAACGACGAGCAACCTCTATGCGCACCTGAAAACACAACTACGGTAACTTTCAGCATTCTTCTGTCGTCTCTGGGAGTGCAGTTATTTCTACAGCATCAACACTGAACGGGGAAGTAGGGGTGAAACAATTATACCGAGTATTCGAATACTCGTTTGGATATTTAAAATATAATCGTACTCGGAATTAATCAGAGTACTCGCTCATACATGGTACATGCATTTGCCACAGAAATCTGCAGTTTCAGAGCAGCAGTGGGCAGATATTGATGTGCAGACTGTGTGGTGAACATTTGTTCGCCAGTAGAGAGAGTCGAAATGACCCACCAAACAATACACCCAGAGAAGGCCTGCCAATCGCGTTAATCGGTTCACTCAGGGTTGTATCACATGATTTTTAAGGCCTTTGGTGTGCGAATTCTTAGGACCTCAAGAATGCTCGAATACTCGAATATTTGATCGGAGAAAATCAGAGTACTCGAACTCGGGATCTCAGTGCCAACTTTCACCCCTAACAGGAAGCAAGTTGATGACAAACGTTGCTGTGACGCAACGTTCTGGTCCTCAGCAGCAGCAGTATGGCGTTGCTCAGTTGGACGCTTCCATTCTGCCTCCACTTTTGAAAGCATCATAATTGACATAAAAGACGCACTGTAAAGTTAGAAACTTTACAGAAATTAATTTCGCTACTTTTGCGGCCATTGCGCATTCTGGAGAAGAAAATCGCCACGAACTGCTCAGTACCAGTAGGTGCACTGTAGACAGCACAACTACAAGATTCAAAAGAGGTAAAAATCGCAAAATTGTCTATCACAAACCAGCCGCATTCATGAAAACGCAAAATTGGTGCGCCACAAAAGTTTATTGCTATACTATATCCAAAAATTCCTCTATTTTCTTGCGTATGCCGGTTCGTGCGCGAGCACGCGCGTACGAGGAGAATGTTAGAGAGTGTTCGTTCGTTCGTTCGTTAACATCAAGAACGTTCGAATGCTCAAGTTTTATGTTTGTTTCAGCCCTACTAGATGAAGTCATGGGAACCCCGTAACCCTATGTGTCAATTGCTTGTGAGTGAGCATGTGGGTACGTCGTTATACGCACAGAGGGGACTTGGGAGTATTTGCAACTATGTTTGTGCACATGGATGTGTGTGTGTGTGTGTATGTGTGCATGTGTGTGCGTGTGTGTTTGTGTTTGTGTGTGTGCATGTGTGCGCACGAATGTGCGCATGCGGAGGTGTGCTAGCATGCCTGGGTGTGTAATACCGTGTACCCGTGGACGCGGGCTAAATTTCTGCAAACTTGCCTTTCTCCAGCCTCTGCGAAAGTACACCGAGTTGTTGCTGTGTTTTATCTTGTTGAGCTGTGATAGCTTGTTGAGATGCAGTTAGTGCGGCCACCGATGATGAGATCTCTGTCAACTTAGCCAATACAGTGGTGATGTCAGTGGAAGGAATGTCTCTCTTCAATGCTTCCACCTGAAACATAATGTACATTGATCAAGACATTGGAAAATACTGATATGACTGAGTGTCACTGGATAACAGATACACAATAATGAGACATAAAAGTGGCATAGCAACATAACAGTGACATCCCAATGGGCACATTTGATTACACACATTTCAGAAATCAGTTACATTCGATTACATTAATTCCGTTGTCAGAATCGACGGAATCCAATTCCGTCAAACCCATCAATTCTGAAGGGAGGACGGAATTGCTAAATCTCCCGCCAGAATTGACGTACTCGACATACATGTACAAGCCATGATAGGTGCATGTGTGTGCCATGGTGTACGGGATCCCAGTTGATCCCCTATTACTATTTTTATGTTAAGTGGATTGTTTACATGGCCGCAATCCGGATTTATAAAACCTGGGTCCAGACTGTGTAATCGAAAGCACCCAACAACATCACAGTGGAATCACAGAGCCATCACAGTATAACAGTGACATCACAATGACATCACAGTGACATCACAGTGACATCATAGCGACATCACAGTGACATCAAAGTGAAAAGGCAGTAACATAACAGTGAGACGAAGGTGAGGCAACAGTACCATAATTCTGAGCTTAGGGCTCGAGCTGGAGCAGCGAGCCGCCGGCTCATTGCGAGCTTTCGCTACGACTCTTGATAAAAAAAAACTGTTTCCCGTACTTTGCATTGTTTTGTACGTGACAATTTTACAATTCAAATTTTAATTCGTTGCGCATTCCAGAACACGAGGATTATTTTGATTTCGCGTGCGCGCGCACGCAGGCAGGTAAAACGTCATCAAAAAATGTGGAGCACGACCGCGGTACCGCAAATGGCGAGTGTCAGTGGAACCGCGCTGCTCCGCGGCGTGCAGCCAAGTGCCGCGGAGCAGCAGAGCCACAGTGGAACCCGGTCAAGCCAGGTACTAATGAGTTATCCAGCTCTAACCGCCACCCCAGATTCGCGTTGGGGATCTCGGCAGTGAGGCACGCCTCGCCTGCATACATGGACCTAAGTAAAAAGTGATTACATCGTCATCTTTAGCTCTATGCACTCCTATGCACTCCTATGCATCACGCACGCACGCACGCACGCACGCACGCACGCACACACACACAAACACACACACACCTTTGGACCTTTGGAAAGCCCATCGCCAAAGGCGAAGATAGCTATTAGGCGAGGCAGTAGTTCTTGTGTCGGGATAAATCATTCGGGCGGCGAAGGTCGCGGCCGCAGACACAGACGAACACTCTTGGTTGGGGCTGGCTTGGTGGCTTCCGACGGCTACGTTCGCGCCAGTCCCTCCGGTCCTGAGCAAGGTGGTACCATTGCGCCTCCGGGATACCGGTCGCACGCAGGTCTGAAGCTGCCACATCTCTCCAACGACGCTTGGGTCCATGGCGGGGCCGCGTGTTAGTGCCCTCCGCAAACAGGATCTGCTTTGGCAACCTGGTGTTGTCCATCCTTGCGAGGTGACCAAGCCATTGCAGGCGATTCGCACGAATGGCCTCCTCCAGCGAGGCTGGCATGCCGCTGCGCTTCGCCAGGTCTTCACTTGACAGGTGTTCCTGCCACTGCTGGTCTCGGGTAACACTCAGGATCGTGCGAACACACTGTCGATGGAACGTGTCCAACCTGCGCAGGAGGGGTGCCTTCAGCGTCCATGTCTCAGAACCATACAGCAGCACTGTAAGGACCACGGCATGGTAGACCTGACGTCGGATTCCAAGCGATAGACCCGAGTTCCGGAAAATTGGTTGGAGGAGGCTACCAAATGCCCTCGACGCCTTGGCGAGACGAGTTGTGACTTCGGCATCCAGCTCTCCATCGTCGCTGATCGTACTGCCGAGGTAGGTAACATCGCTGACCACGCCGATCACCAGCACTCCCAGGCACCACAATATCAGCACGGATGACACTCAGACCGACCGCCAAGAACTTCGTCTTCTGCACACTAACAGTCAGGCCCCAGCCTGACGCACACTGCGTAAATTCCTTCACCATCGTCTCCATGTGCTCGTACGAAGTGGTATACAGGGCAGCATCATCCGCAAATAGCGACTCCGACACGGATAAGTCTGTGAGTCTGTGCTTGGCAGTACGGTCGCCAACCAACTTGCGGCCGATACGATGTTTCATCGGGAAAATAGGCACTGTGGATGTTGAGCGCCAGTGTACAAGGACGGCAGAGAAGTAGAGGTTGAACAACATCGGAGCCAGGGTGCAACCCTGGCGTAGACCATTCTCCACCCCAAAGCTGTCAGACTGACCACTATCCACGCGAACAGACGCCATTATACCCTCGTGAAGGGACCGGATCACCTGAAGCATGCGCGGAGGCACACCGAATTTCTACAGGACCAGCCAAAGCGCTGTTCGGGGGACCGAGTCGTACGCCTTGCGTAGATCCACAAACAAGACGTACAGATCAGATTGATGTTCAATGGCTTTCTCGAATACTTGGCGGGCAGCAAAGATCATGTCGATGCAGCCCCTACCCTTCCGAAAACCGCACTGAGACTCTGGTAGCCAGTCTTCAGCGAGTGGCTCAAGCCGGTCCTGGAGCATGCGAGCAAACAGTTTGCCCAAAACATCGAGCAAGCTGATGCCACGCCAGTTATCGCAGCTATGCCGGTTACCCTTCTTGGGGATGGGGACTATCTCTGCATCGCGCCAGTCAGCAGGGACCGATCCAGTTTCCCAAACCCTAACGATGAACTCATGGAGGCGACCCAACAAAAGTTCACCACCACAACGAATCAGCTCTGGCAGAATGCCTGATTGACCACTGGCTGTGCCATTCTTCATACTGCGAAGTGCACGTTGGAGCTCCTCGATGCTAGGGACGTCGTCCAGATGTTCACGAACATCCAATGCAGGCAACAGTGTGTTGGTCAAATTGGCTCTGCGTATTTAACACCATCTCAAAGTGCCGTCCGAAACGAGCACGAACAGCATCCGCATCTTGGATCAAGTTGCCGTTCTCATCCAGCACAGGAGATGTATGCTTTGAAGTTCTGCCCTTCTCAATTTCCTGCAGCTTCAGGATGCACTTCCAGCGAGTGCGCCCATCTTTCTTAGCCTCCTCAGCATCACGCACTACCTCTGATATCCAGTTCTCCTTCGCCATCCGCACAGCCTTTGCCACTGTACGTTGTGCCTGTCGAAAGGCTTTCCGAGTATCAACTGTATCGTTTGACAACAACGCTTGATGGCAGGTATTCTTGGCATCATTGAGCGGCTCAAGAGTCGAGCTGCTCTCCAAGAACCAGTCTGGTTGAACACGTTCACCAAAACCAATGATGTCAGAGGCAGCAGACGTAACAGCGTCACGGATGCCAGACCACTCTAGATCTATAGACTCCACCGACTCTCTGGGCACTGCAGAATCCCTGGCCAGACGCTCCTGAACACTATCCTAGAAAGCTGTACAAACATCAGTGTTCCGCAGACTCCTCACGTCTAAACGCTTCCGGTTGCCGCTGCCACTTGTACGCCCATTGCGCGGTGGAGCACCACGACTCAGAGCCAAACGTGCATGGACCATGAAGTGATCAGACCAAAATGACGCGCCACGCATGGCAGAGGCATCCTGACAGTATACGTGCTGATCCTGTCGCATAATGACATAATCAATCAGGTGTGGTTGACGTGTGGCAGGATGAGTCCAGGTTCCACGCTTGCGTAGCTTCTTCCGAAACCAGGTATTCAAAACGCATAGTGAGTTCCTCGCGCAGAACAACAATAAATCCTCACCAGCCTGATTACATTGACCAAGACCAAAGTCACCAATGATCTGATCCCAGGGGGGCCTATCGTCATACATGTCCCGAAAATCACCAGTTCCGCGTGACCCTACTCTGGCGTTGAAATCGCCCAGCAGTACAAAGATGTCGTTACGGTTGACTTTGTCAACGATCGCATGAAGGTGTCTATAAAATGTCTCCTTCACGCTGAATGTCGCTTTGTTGGTGGGCACATAGATGTTGATAACAGACAAGTACTGATCACAGTGACATCGATCTCCGCGGGGTAGTTTGTCCCCCTTCGCGTGAAGTAGGATACGAGCCGTGACGATGCGCGAGCTTACGGGGTCCCACTGTTCTCCGCCACGCCGCCACGCTGCCGACATCTCTGGATTCATCCAAATTTCAACAGCCTCGTTCCGTCAGGCTGGTTCTCCCCCTGTTGGGATTGGGCAACCAGAATGAACGAAGGTACAATTGCCGATGGGCCACACATCACTGCCGAACCACTTCGTCTCTTGAATTACCGCAACTTCGACACGGAATTTTACGAGTTCCGCCGACAAAAAGTCCAGACCTCTGTCCACTCGCGACACTGACTTGTTTTTCCTACATATCCTGGCATCACCTGTGTCCTCTACAAGAGACTGGACATTCCAGCTCGCCATAAAGAGAGTCTCTCGCTCCTTCCTCGACTTCCTAATCGTCCTCATCCTCGTCCACAACTATTCGAAAATTTTAAAAATTTTCAAACAAGAAACACTGCCTCGTCTCGCTTGTGCTTGTGTACCTACTCCCAGCAGAGCGCAAATCCACTGGGACATGCTGCAGCAACCATGGCCTGGTCTACACCACACAGCCATGGCTGCAAACGCAGCTATCCTTCCATTTCGGTCAGAGCCCAGAAAAGTGCAACCGACCTCTTCAACTACAACTCCTCGCACGCACGCACGCACGCACGCACGCACGCACCCACGCGACCACGCGCCCACGCGCCCACGCGCCCACGCGCCCCCCCGCCCCCGCGCCCCCGCGCCCGCGCGCCCGCGCGCCCGCGCGCCCGCGCGCCCGCGCGCCCGCGCGCCCGCGCGCCCGCGCGCCCGCGCGCCCGCGCGCCCGCGCGCCCGCGCGCCCGCGCGCCCGCGCGCCCGCGCGCCCGCGCGCCCGCGCGCCCGCGCGCCCGCGCGCCCGCGCGCCCGCGCGCCCGCGCGCCCGCGCGCCCGCGCGCCCGCGCGCCCGCGCGCCCGCGCGCCCGCGCGCCCGCGCGCCCGCCCGCCCGCGCGCCCGCCCGCCCGCGCGCCCGCGCGCCCGCCCGCGCGCCCGCGCGCCCGCGCGCCCGCCCGCCCGCGCGCCCGCCCGCCCGCCCGCCCGCCCGCCCGCCCGCCCGCCCGCCCGCCCGCCCGCCCGCCCGCCCGCCCGCCCGCCCGCCCGCCCGACCGCCCGCCCGCCCGCCCGCCCGCCCGCCCGCCCGCCCGCCCCCACCCACCCACCCACACACACACACACACACACACACACACACACACACACACACACACAGACACACACACACACACACACACTGTAGTAGGAAAAGGTTTTTTTTAATCTTGGGTGCTGTTTGGTCAACTAAAGAAACTCTCCAGCTGAATCTTCCCTCTAAGTCCCCCTCTCCATCATCTCCGCCAAACAACAAGCAGACAACTTTACCCTCCACCCCACAATAAGGCACAATCAATGATAACATGCCAACACATGATCCAATGACACCATGACAACACATGACCCAGTAATACCATGACAACACATGACCCAATAATAACTATGCATCACGCACACGCACACACTGTATTAGAAAAGGTCTTTTAAATCTTGGGTGTTGTTTGGTCAACTAAAGAAAATCTCCAGCTGAGTCGGCCTTCTAAATCCCCCCTCCCCATGACCTCAGCCAAACAACAAGCCGACAACATTACCTACCATACCCTCTTTCTAACCCCCCCCCCCCCCACACACACACACACACATACAATACTCCGCTTGCACCCCCCCCCACACACACACACATACAGTACTCCGCCTCGGCTCCACACACATGTATATAGTATGTACATCAAGATATCTGTACCTGAGCTAACGCTTTGTTGCTCCTCTCCATTGCTGCAGCTGCGCCATGTTTAGCTTCAAGCACCGACTTGCTGACACGAGTTGCTTCCTTGCGAACAGCAGCCACTTCGTCTCTAGTAGCAGTTTTCTTCAAATTCTGCGTAGTGTATATAAATGGTGTGTTTGCACAAGGCACAATCAATGACACCGTGCCAACACATAATCCAATGACACCATGACAACACATCACCCAGTAATACCATGACAACACATGATCCAATGATATCAAGACAACACATTACCAAGTGGTATCATGACAACACGTGATCCAATGATACCATGACAACACGTGATCCAATGATACCATGACAACACATGACCCAGTGATACCATGACAACACATGATCCAATGATACCATGCCAACACATGACCCAGTGGTATCATGACAACACTTGATCCAATGATACCATGACAACACATGACCCAGTGGTATCATGCCAACACATGATCCTATGATACCATGACAACATATCACCCAGTGATACCATGACAACACATGATACACTGACCCTATAAGCCAATGCTAGGCATAACAGCCGGGAGTCAAGCTAGTCTAGTCAGCGGAAAACCCTCGGCTCCAGTGTGAGAATTAATTATTGTTTTTCCTTGAAACATTTGTCTCCATCGCTTGGCATTGTTTAATAAAGTAATCCAATGTCACTTCAGCTCGTCCTCTTTATTGCAATATTAACCCTTTACCAGCCGCATTTGTATGTTTTTGATTGATTTTTATTTCACGGATCCTCCAGAGGCAAATAGATGCCTATCGAAGGGAGTCTCCTAATATGTAAATAACATTGTCCACTAGATTGAGATTTATTGCATTCCCAACTCATCACAACCACGCGCTCTTCAGCCTCCATGATGATAATGGAGAAATGACCATTCTTATACACCAGAAATGGTGCAAGTGCGCGCTTTCCTCATAATAAACAATGGCATATGCAAGCTGCTAAAATGGTAAAGTGTGAGAACAGCGATAAATATTCATAGTACGCGCTCATTGGTGGAGGAACACAACACACAGGCGACGAAAATCTGACGCGGAATACTGATGCCAACGGAAAGTACATGTATGTTGTTTATTATTATGATATTGCAATGTCCATGTATGCAGGCGAGGCGAGACTCACCGCCGAGATCCCCAACGCGACAGGCTCGGTTGCCGTTCAGGATTCACACCGACCTGTCCACCCGTCAACAGGATCGACAGCGGGAGGCCCCACTGATGCCGTTGTCGATGCGTACCAGGAAACTTGTAGTCGTGAGTGTGATACTAGCAGGTCTAGTAGCAACCACTGACAAACGAGAGGCCAGCCGGGGCATTCACTCCAGTCAGGGCTGCTTGGTCGACGCTTCGTATCAGCAGCTCAGCTCAGTTTGATCAAACATAAATGTTGCAGATGTGTCTTGCTTTTCTCCTTCCTTTTCCACCGACTCGTCTTTTCATCTCTCCTTCTTTCTTCACCGACTCGTCGTGTCCACACTGCTTTGCTACTTACGGCGCATTGAAACTTCAGAACTAAATATTGCGACAGAGCTTTCGGCCATATTTTCAATTTATTGCATGCCCAACTCATCACAACCATGTGCTCTTCACCCGAACCATACAGACACCAGCAAGGACACTTCCTTTGAGAGATAATATTGTTCTACGCCTCTAGACTGCTGTTTTGCTTCCTGTTGGAGCTCATCAGTAGAGGATGATAATGATGATAATGGAGAAATGATCATTCTTAAACACCAGAAATGGCGCAAGTGGGCGCTTTCGACATAATAAACAATGGCATATGCAAGCTGCTAAAATGGTAAAGTGTGAGAACAGCGATAAATATTCATAGTACGCGCTCCTTGGTGGAGGAACACATCACAAAGGCGACGAAAATCTTACGCGGAATACTGATGCCAACGGAAAGTACATGTATGTTGTTTATTATTGTGATGTTGCAATGTCCATGTATGCAGGCGAGGCGAGACTCACCGCCGAGATCCCCAACGCGACAGGCTCGGTTGCTGTTCAGGATTCACACCGACCTGTCCGACCGTCCACAGGATCGACAGCGGGAGACCCCACTGATGCCGTTGTCGATGCGTACCAGGAAACTTGTAGTCTTGAGTGTGATACTAGCAGGTCTAGTAGCAACCACGGACAAACGAGAGGCCATCTGGGGCATTCACTCTTACACGGAATACTGATGCTAACGGAAAGTACATGTATGTTGTTTATCATTATGATGTTGCAATGTCCATGTATGCAGGCGAGGTTTTCGTCGCCTTTTTGGTGTGTTCCTCCACCAATGAGCACGTACTATGAATTTTATCGCTGTTCTCACACTTTACCATTTTGAACAGCTTGCATACGCCATTGTTTATTATGTGGAAAACGCGCACTTGCGCCATTTCTGGTGTATAAGAATGATCATTCCTCCATTATCATCATCATCATCCTCTACTGATGAGCTCCAAAAGGGAGCGAAACAGCTGTCTAGAGGCGTGGAACAATATTATCTCTCACCGGAAGTGCCTTGCTGGCGTCTGCATGGTTCGGCTGAAGAGCGTGTGGTTGTGATGAGTTGGGAATGCAATAAATTGAAAATATGGCCGAAAGCTCTGTCGTAATATTTAGTTCTGAAGTTTTAATCGCCGTTAGCGGCAGAGCAGAGTGGACACGACGAGTCGGTGAGGAAAGAAGGAGAGATGACAAGACCAGTCGGTGAAGAAGGAAGGAGAAAAGCAAGACACATCTGCAACATCTACCGTATTTTCCGGGGTATAAGCCGCACCGGGTTATAAGCCGCACCCCCTTTTTGAGGCAAAATATTTACTAAAAGTTGGTATTCGGAGTATAAGCCGCACCCACAAACCAAGATTTTTCACACTCATTGACAAATGGCCTTTCTACAAATTTATTATGGTTATGGAGCTAAATACCATGTTAGATCAGATTATGAAAAATAGAGTCCCCGTATACGCGTACCGTATGGTGTAACCCCCGCACTAAAACTAGAAAAAGTGCCGGGATAGCAACACAGGCGCGAAGCTGAGTCGAATGACATGTCACATGACGTCAGCATGCATACTGATGTATGCTAAGCATTCATTCGGGCAAGCATATTCGGTGTATAAGCCGCAGGGGCGATTTTAGCGAAAAAAAGTGCGGCTTATACCCCGGAAAATACGGTATGTTTGATCAAACTGAGCTGAGCTGCTGATACGAAGCGTCGACTAAGCAGCCCTGACCGGAGTGAATGCCCCAGCTGGCCTCTTGTTTGTCAGTGGTTGTTTCTAGACCTGCTAGTACTCACGACTACAAGTTTGCTGGTACGCATCGACAACGGCATCAGTGGGGCCTCCCGCTGTCGATCCTGTTGACGCGTACGGGTGGACAGGTCGGTGTGAATCCTGAACGGCAACCGAGCCTGTCGCGTTGGGGGATCTGGGCGGTGAGTCTCGCCTCGCCTGCATACATGGACATTGCAACATCATAATAATAAACAACATACATGTACTTTCCGTTGGCATCAGTATTCCGCGTAAGATTTTCGTCGCCTTTGTGTTGTGTTCCTCCACCAATGAGCGCGTACTATGAATATTTATCGCTGTTCTCATAACCGCGATCAATAAAACTAGCTGAACCGACATTTGTGTACTTTATTCATGCAATGTAAAAACGGTGGAGACGATGTGCAATAAAACGATGAAAATATGAAGAAATGGTGTAGGGAAAAAATATATGGATTCAAACAAGTTTTCATCGGGTCGGCTTGTGTCGCCGCCTTTGCTCCGGCCGTCGGTGGTTCCCTCGTCAGTGCCCCCGGCGGCTTTGGCTGAGGTGGTGCCGCTTGCGGTCCCGGTCCCACTGCCTCCTCCTGATCCTCCACCATCGGTTCTTGCGGCGGTGGAGCTTGCCAGTGGGAGACCGCGAGCAACACTGACAGCTGCATTAACACTACAAATGCCGACTCAAAAAGACCCACCTTGCATATCAGTAGCTCCCACACCAACACCAACAACGCAATCTACAGCAACCACAACTAATCCACCATCCAAGCCCACAATTGAAAGACCAAGACGATCAACAGCCAACTACAACAGAAGCTACGCACTCAGCGGACAAGGGCGAAAGGAGGGATGTGATAGCAGGGTGACGGCCGAGTTGACTTCAATGGACCCGGTCAGGCGGGATGGACGAGACAGAGAGAGTACAGAAGAAGCGGAGGATGGAGCGGACGGCGGAAGGAGCAGTGAGTCGGAGAGCAGTGATGGGAGTGATGGTGAGAATGCCGGTGAGAGTGTTAGTGTTGTGCGTGGGTTTCGTGGTAGCAAATCGTCAGTGTACAATCATCTGCTAGCTAGTCCTGATTGTTGCAATTCGTATTCCGACTCTTCGTTCACTGTATTGTGCCGTGGTCGTCATGGTTATGGACTACAGTTAAAAGTGTTGGAAGCTATCTATCAGCGTCTGTACAAGCCTAATTTGTGTGTACAGAAAGATAGTATAATTGGGTTGAAATTGTTCAAGTAACGTGTCGTGTTTAGTGCGGCCAAGCTTGGCCGTTAATGTTCTAGGTGTAATGTACTGCTGTTATGTGCTATCACGTTGTCTTTCCTTCCTTTCTCCTTTGTTCATTTCTCGCTTTGATTGTTAAAATTCACACTTGTAAATTTCACTGTTGTTGCTCTTAGTGTTATTTCTGTAACTTAGATTTTCTATAATAGTTCAATTTTTGTTTCAGTGTCCTTTAGTACAACGACGATTCCTGATGAGTGTTGTACGAAAACTTGTTTGAATCCATATATTTTTTCCCTACACCATTTCTTCATATTTTCATCGTTTTATTGCACATCGTCTCCACCGTTTTTACATTGCATGAATAAAGTACACAAATGTCGGTTCAGCTAGTTTTATTGATCGCGGTTATCAAATTATTGTCTCCTCGCCGTGTGCTGTTCTCATACTTTACCATTTTAGCAGCTTGCATATGCCATTGTTTATTATGTGGAAAGCACGCATGTACTTCATCCGTTAAGCAAAACTTTGTTGCCTTTTTAGTGTTCTTGTCATGGTATTTCTGTCGGCATTAGACATACATGTC